CCCGGAAGGCGGGGAGGGGGGTGGGGGAGGGAGTAGAGGAACCAAGTTGGGGAGGGGACGGGGAGACGAGGTGATGATGGAAATCACTGGTCTGAGGGTGTCTTCAGTGGTGTCGGCCTCAGAATGAAAAAGTCCTAACTCAGTTGTTGTTTTTTTCATGTTTGGAGTAAAAGCACAATGTAGATTCTCCCACTGTACTCCCCCTGCTCCATATTGTGAAAGTTCCAACTCTTATCCTTTTATTCTATTAGATAATACCGTAATAATTGTGTTCTTCATTTTGTTGGAAGTTCAAGTGTGTGAAAAGGTTGAACACAAAATATGTGAAATTTTGAAATATCTGTAAAGTGAGCGTAACTGAGATACACCGTTTATTCTCCGTGCTCGTTTTGTTGAGCACAAAGTACTCGAAAATGCCTGTCTGTCTCGGCTGTTTGATGGAAGTTACAAATCGCCACCGTCCTTACCGTAAATGGGTGGATCTTCCTTCGCTGGCCCGAGGTGAACTTTGGCGTGCGCGGGCACGGTGAAATGTGAACATTTGGTATTTGAACTTTCTTTATCGTCTGTCTGTCTGTCTGTCTATCTGTCTGTCTGTCTGTGTCTCTGTCTCTGTCTCTGTCTCTGTCTCTGTCTCTCTCTCTCTCTCTCTCTCTCTCTCTCTCTCTCTCTCTCTCTCTCTCTCTCTCTCTCTCTCTCTCTCTCTCTCTCTCGATCCACCGTTCTCCTCTTTCTCTAACAATGCATGTGGTAAGTTTGGAGTTCAGAAAGAGAACATGGACTAGTCTGCCGAGGTCTCCGAGCATTAGAGGAAAAAAACCCCCTTGTTATTGTTGTTGTTGTTGTTGTCGTTGTTGTTGTTGTTGTTGTTGTTGTTGTTGTAGGATTTTCTTTTTTTGAGAAGACCCCCCTCCCCCTTCCAACCACCGTGTACATATTATGTAGTTTCGAAATATTACATGTTTTTAAAACGATTAATCAAATTTGGGAGGCAATAAGCAAAACAAAACACCCCCAAACTTCCAACAATTTGTTTGAAACGATGTTGATAAATATAGAGGTCAAGACCTCAAGAAAATAAAGGACCAGCTTTGAAAAAGTGAAGAAATAACGATAATACTAAATAGACTAGGCTATAGACCGATATTAATTTGGATCGAGTTGAACAGAGCACAGGGAAAAGGAATCATTGAAAACGTGGATAAACGGTGACATTCTTCGAGCCAATGTCCATTGTATTTTCCGCTACAAATATTTTGACCGGAAGCAACCCTTGAACTTTGAACTACCATTCAACTAACTGTGCTCAGTGTTCTGTCTGTGTGTTGTGCTGGTTTTTATAACAACACAGTGGTGGCCTACCGGTGACTTGCAAACACTCTTCTGACTTCTGACGTTGTGCCGTAGAGTCGTAGAGGTGTGTATATAATTGACTTGTCGACTTTTGAAGTTTTTATAAAGGTTCATTCCACACCAGTGAAGTGTAGATCTAGGAGGCGAGTGGAAGGTGAATATCACCACTTGTTTCCTTTACGACTTAAAAGAAGCCCTTCTCGTTTTCAGTCCTATCTCAGATCTGAGAATGAGCCAGGAGACCATCATGTTTCAGTTCTTCGCTAATATCTTTCCTAGCACGATTCACAACGTTGCGGTTTGCGTGGTCTTTCCTTCTATTGTCCCAAATTGCAGGTTTTTTAAATACGGCTGATACCAAAGGGCCACCTCTATTCTCACCCGGAGTGAGAATAGTGCAGGCGAGTCTTGTGGCTATTCTCACCCGGTGCGCGTTCACCAAATTTTGCGTTCACCCTAAACCACAGAATTCTACACTGTGATAACAGAAAAATTGTAGAATTCTGTGCCGTGAACAAACGTTCCATTACAACTGTAGCCTACTAAAAGCGTACAATTTTGTCTGTGGGCAGTGGAGAGAGAGAGAGAGAAAGAGAGAGAGGAGTAGCGCGAGAATTTCCGGGCAAAACAAAATGGCGACCCGCGTAGTTCGGCTCGATTCGAAAAGTTAAATAGCCGTAGCATCTTTGTAGACAACCAAATTAATTTACTTTTGTGTTTTAACATCATTTTAAAACTTTGTTTTGGTCAATTTGATCGTCCACACCGATAGACAGTATTCAGAAAGAGACAGAGAGAGAGAGAAGAGGGGAGGAGTTGATCTTGCGAGAACTTCCGGGCGGGTGAGAATAGCCACTTTCATACTAAAGACTCGACATCCATTTCGGTGCTTTTGTCACTGAGACTGAGAGAAAATACATTCTGAACCACCCAAGTCGTAACCAGACAGCCAGACAACAATGGGGGGGCGGTACCAAGTAGGCCTACACGCTTGCAAGCGAGAAAGAGAATTAACTTTTGATTCTTTTCGCTTTTCAAACGTCGCTTGAAATCTCAGGCGTCATAAAGCGAGCATGCTTTTTGTGCGCAACAAGCAACTTTTGAGTAACATTTCACGCGCGTGTCCCAACGCGCTCGCTTTTATCGCGAGCAAGCGTTCTCTTTGTGCTCCGCTTAAGACTTGTTTAGGGTTAAAGTAAGCATGCACTCATCTCTCTCTCTCTCTCTCTCTCTCTCTCTCTCTCTTTCTCTCTCTCTCTCTCTCTCTCTCTCTCTCTCTCTCTCTCTCTCTCTCTCTCTTTCTCTCTCTCTCTCTCTCTCTCTCTCTAGCGCAAGGAAAACAGAAAAAAAATACGAAAAAAGAGAGATTTTAGTCATTATCATTGACACAATACACAACTTGAATTCTAATTTGAGTTGGGGGGGGGGTGGGAGGTTTGTATCACGTTGCACAATAAGATTTGGATCTAGGTCTAGATCTAAATTTCTTGATCTATCCCATGATCTTTGTCCCTACGCGAAAGAGGATGAAAAAAGGAAAAATGAGGAAATGTTAGATCTAGAATCTAGATAATTTCCATCCTTCTTTTGAAATGCCCTGTGCCAATAATATTTTGTAGTATTCACACACCCTGTACGAATATAATTTCATAGTATAGTAACATCCTGTGCGAATAACATTTCTAGTATTCACACACTTTGTGTGAATAAAATTTCACAAAATTCTCAGTATTCACACACCCTGTGCGAATAAAATTTCATAGTATTCGCACACCCTGTGCGAATACAATTCCATAGTATTCACACACCCTGTGCGAATAACTACAGCCATATATATATATATATCTGAGAATTGAATTGTGGTGGATGTCGCAGACTTTAGTCTAGTGGGCGACTGCTCATTGTTGTGCCAATGCTGGAATGTTGATCCTCAGAAACCAAAAAAAAAAAGGATATACCGCCAGGCTAAGTTTAGGAAGGCGTATTGGGAGTTGACTCCCAATAATATCAACTGGTTTTTGGGAGTTGACTGCTCATTTCAGTAGGGAGTCACAAAAACAATTATTTTTTCAAAGTGCCTGTTTGAAATGCTGCATTGCGATTAGCCACATGATAATAAAACACAGCGTGTTAAATAGCCCTCTGCTAATTAAAACGCTGAAGCCCAGATCACGCATGATGTCCGGTAAGCAGGCAAACTCAACCTGTTGAACTGTATGTCGCAAGTTGATGTGACTTTTTCATGATCAGACGATGGCTGAACCTTTACTGAAAGTTGGAGATGAATTCCCCTGTTAGGATGACTTTTTTGAAAGCTGTTCATAGATATTCGGATTCTACCAATCAGCCTTTATTCTGAAGATTGGGAATAAAACAGTGACTCAAGCCAACAAGTTTAAACAAGATACTACCCAGAACATCTGAGAATTGTGTTGTGCAACAGACGTGGCTGCACACACCGAGGCAGAATTGAATCGAGCAGAAGAAGAGGGACTGTCAAAGAGAATATACGAGGGACGGGCAAATACAGTGGAGAGAATAGAGCAGGAGAGCATTGTTAGAACAGTAAACGACGAAAGGCATGCCAGAACTGAGAATGTTTAAGAAGTTAGATCCTTGTTTTCCAATATCAGATCACTGCTGTCTACCAAGGAGAGGTCAGCCCAAAAGAAGTGCCTCACAGTACTTAGTGGACCAAGAAAAAGAAGATACGGCCTCAAGAAACACATCTCAACATAAGAAAACATTTACAAAAAATGTTAACGAGGAAGATCATGTTGTTTGCAATCAGTGCAAGAAAAGAGACCCGGAAAAAAAAGTATCTCTGCTGGTGAAACCCAATGGGTAGTGTGTGAGAAATGTGATAGACATAGGTGGTATCACCACAGTTATGTGTTGGGTATTCACATGATGTAGACTTTCAATGTTGTATGTGTATAGGTTCTTTATGAGGATTCAATATTGAGTAGAAGCAGATTGAAAGACTTTGAAGATATTATCTAGGTCTACTCTGAGAGTGAGAAACCCATTTTGTTTCTGATTACAGTGACATTCAAATCATGAATATAAAGAACAACACCAGTATGTCATGATCTTTTGTGTACTGAAAATGCATTAAAGTTTATCTGTGTGCAGTTTGAATGTTATGAATCTCCTGATAGCTATATAATAATACATGATGCTGTGATTGGCAAATTGATGCTAAGTTATTCATTGAAAGATGCTTTCAGTATCATTTATCTTTTAAAATATGTTTTATTACTAAGTTAAATTTCTTGAAACTGGTACATTTCTAAATTAATTACATGTTGGCCCCTACATTGATTGAATTACGCTATTAATAAAGCAACATGGATATTTACTAGAAATATGTATCATGTCCTTTTTATTTTTATATGGATTGCTCTCTGGATAGATGTGATATTCTCCTCCTCCTCCTCCCCTCACCCCCCCATGCATCCTTTCTCTTCCATACCCCCCCCACTCTCTCTCTACCTCTTCTAAACCCCATTATCTCTATCTCTCTCTCCCTCTCTCTCCCTC